CAAACACAGCCCAGGCTAATCAGCATCTCCTCATAGAAATGCATTGAATCAATGCATCTCTATGAGGAAAGTTCAGTGTCTTCATGCAGAGGAGACAAAAAATGGCAGTGTTGCACACTGTGCAGCACTGCCACAGGAAGCACCTCTAGTAGCCATCTGAGAAGTGGCCACTGGAGTTATCACTAGGCTGTAATGTAAACACTGCATTTTCTATGAAAAGACAGTGTTTACTGCAAAAAGCGTGAAGGGAATGATTCTACTCACCAGAACAAAAGAAAATAAGCTGTAGTTGTTCTGGTGACTATAATATCCATTTAAGAAATAAAGACCAATATGTTGAGGGAACACACAGATGCCAGTGCTTATAAATCTGCAGTAATGTGCGTTCAAATAATATTGGCAAAATGTATTTGCTAAAGTGAGAAATCAAAGTGAATTTTAAATTTAAGGCCCAAATTTCACTCCCTTTGTTCATTTTAAATGCATTCAATGCATTCCTATGGGGAGTCTGGTGACGCTGGAGGTCCTCATGCGTATCGTGAGGACGTCCAGCGCCGTTTAACACACTTTTCGTCTTCTAAGAACACAGAAGTCCCTCTAGTGGCTGTCTGTTTTATAAAAACTGCAATAATTATACTTGCAGGGTTAAGGGTGGTGGGAGTTGGCACTCAGACCACTCCCATGGGGAGAAGTGGTCTGGGTTCCTGGAGTGTCCCTTTAATTGTTAATGCAACACATGGCTGCGTGCGACACCACCTGGTGATTATTTAATCTGCTGAGGCGATCTCTACGTCCCACACAAGGGCACGAGGCCCATATTAGTAATTATGTAAGACAAGCATGCAGTCCTTATACTAACTCCAGGATTACCTCACTGTGGTGTTGGGACGCCTCAGTAACCCTCTGAAGTTATATTCTACTGCTCCGTCAAGTAACTACGTTGGCTGCCCTACACTGCCTTATCTACACATAATCTGATTTGTGAAGTCTAGGCTGCGGAGGTGACAGGGTGTGTTGGGTTTCTGTGGTTTATATATGCTGGATTTCCTACTGTTATAACCTGTTGTTAATACAAATAATGAGGTACTGCTAATCGTTACCAATCTACCAAGCTATGCCTATATATATTGTATCTTGAATTCTTCATTGCATGTAATGTTACTCCTATTACCTCAATAAAACAAAGATTGACAAAAAAAAAAAATCTCACGATGGATCATAGTACAGGATGAAAATTCAGAATGCTCACATAAAATCCAGCGGCACGTCTTCAAAAATGCTAACAAAACACGCATGACTATCCACAAGGTATGGAAGGTAATTGTTTAGCACATATTAAGCCAAAATGCAAGCATGAAAAACTATTGGATTTTTTTATTAAACTTGCCTTTTTAGTTGCCTAAAATTTGCAATTCTTCTGTCAATTCTTCACAACTCTCACATTAGTAACAAACACTGACAGTGTTTCTTTAATCGGCCATTGACTCGATCTGTAAGGCAAGTCTGCTGTGTGGGAATTCAGGGTTGGGTGCCCCTACTCTGTGTTAATTTACTGCTGCAGTGTTCTTGTCTTCCGGAGACCGTCACGAGCGATGTCCAATGCCACCCCCTGTCCAGCCTTTCTGCTCCACTAAAACAAGGGCAGAAGGTCATTATGCATCAATTGACATTTGTACAACGTGCATTCGATGGTTTATGAAGCAACATTCAAATAGCTAAACTGGAAATATAGCTGGCGAAAGCTACTCTGGCCTAAATTTTTTAATTAATTTTGTATTAATTGTCAATTGCTGACAAGTCACACTTTAGTAAATAACACTGTTGGATTTATTCACTGATCAACGAATTGTAGCAAAGTAAAATCCAAAATGGCTAAATTTAGTCTAAAATAGTCGAGCTGTGACTACAGCTGACTTTCTCATTTCAGATCAGCTATTTTAGCCTATATTTTATTTTTTGAAATTCAATTAGCTTCAGTTCATACTTTAGTAATAGCACTGGAAGGGTTATTTAGTCAAGTTAAAATTCAAAATGAATTCAAAGTGAATTTCAAATTTAAGACCATTGTAGCCAAATTTAAAGCTTAGCTGACTTACAGGATTTTCCAGTTCTGGCTATTTTGAATTTAAATTCACGTTGAATTTACTTTTAATTCTCACTTTAGTGAAAAATTCTGTGTGAGTGTATGTGAGATTGGTGGAAACCATTATTTTAGTGATAAGTAAACATAATCTTAAAACCATATAGAAAGAGCCTATTATTTGATTAATAGATCCTCAGTCAAACTCCTTGCAAAAATATTTTAAAAGTTTTTAGCATAAATCTTTGCCATTGATACTGATCAGCCACCCATTAAAACCACCTGCCTAATATCTTGTAGATCCCCCTGATGCCACCAGGCATGGACTCCACATGAACATATCCTGTGGTATCTGTGGTATCTGACACCAAGACATTAGCAGCAGATCCTTTAAGTTCTGCATTGTACAAGGTGGGTACTTCATGGATCGGATTTGTTGTTCCAGCACATCCCACGGATGCTTAATTGAGTTCTGGGGAATTTGGAAGCCAATGCAACACCTTGAACTCTTTTTCATGTTCCTCAAGCCATTCCTGAACACTTTTTGCAGTGTGGCAGAGTGCATTACCCTGCTGTAAGAGGCCTCCATTGCTATGAAGGGGAGTGCGTGGTCTGCAACAATCTCTAGATAGGCAGTACGAGTCAAAGTAACATCCACATAAATGTCAGAACCCAAGGTTTCCCAGCAGAACACTGCCCAGAGCATAACTCTGTCTCCGCCAAAATACCTTCTTGCCATAGTGCATCCTGCTGCCACCTCTTCTCCAGGTAAACAATAGACACCAACCTGGCCATCCACCTGATTTAAAATAATGCATTATTCATCAGACCAGACAAGCTTCTTCTATTGCTCCATGATCCAGTTCTGATGCTCACCTCCGCACTGAAGGCGCTTTCAGCGGTGGACAGGGATCATCATGGGCACTCTGACAGGTCTGCAGCTATGCAGCTCCATACACAGCAAACTGCAAAGCACTGTGTGTTATGACATTTCTACCATGGCCTGCATTACGTATTTAAGCTATTTGAGCTATAGTAGTTCTTCTGCTTGACAGGCTGAACTTCGCGCCCTACGTGCATCAATGAGACTTGGGCACCCATGATCCTAACACCGGTTTACCGGTTGTCTTTGCTTGCACCACTTTTGGTAGGTACTAACCACTGTAACCACTGCACCCCAAAAGACTTGCCGTTTTGGAGATGCTCTGACGCAGTTGTCTAGCCATTACTATTTGGCCCTTGTTAAAGTCACTCAGATCTTTTCACTTGTCCATTTTTTCTGCTTCCAACTCATGAAATTCAAGAACTGACTTTTCCCACCCATTCACAGCTGCCACTTTAGTGGTTAAATCAATGTTATTCAGGCTAAAGGGCCATCTGAGCGGCAAACCAGTGTTAGGGATCACGTTCACCCACAATGCACCAGTCACAATCCCACAATGATATGCAATATTAATCTGCATACATTTGTTCAGTCAATGTTAATATAAAACAAACAACTTTATAATTAAATATCTTTCCGTATAATTCCACTTTTAGAATTGCAATTTGACTTAACAACGTATAATTAAAAAGTAATGTTCTCCTCAATGCTAACAAGTCATCTTTAGGTTTCAGCTTCGCTTTAATAAATCATCTTTAAAAGCGCACAATCTGAATCAGCACAACTCTCACTCATTCCAGTCCCTGTGCGGACGTTATTTGTCTTTTTGTACTTAGTTCGTTTGATGTTCTTGCTCTCCCCTCCCGTGATTTTTCTCTTCCTTCCAATATCCTTTAATATAATCCAAGCTCACCATATCAGGAAGTCACAGGCATCGGGTTTATTTGCTGAGTTTATAGGTTATTATTTGATCTGGCTTCTAATTTAACCTTATGCCCCATCTCTGCTGCTCGGCACATGGCAACATATTGACAGATCTCATGGGATCTGTCCTAATGAGGACTGTCTCTTCCTCTATCTCTGTAGGCATGGCCTCCTGCTTATGTATTGTTTGATACAGGCCTCGTCCTTCTGCATTAAACTGTAAATGTGATGTGACTCTAAACGGATGAATGTTTGGAAAAAAATATTACTAAGTGAAGCCATTAAATCCTTTATGATGATAACTGCAAATGACTATGGTTCATGTGCATGTTCCAGTAGCTGTTAGGAAAGTAATCCTGTAGGGAAAAGCCATACTGCCATCTGCTGGGAAAAAATAAGAATTGTTAACACAAGAAACAAGGCTGTTCACTAAAATATGGCTATATTGAGGATTAGGAAAATTTGGATACAATAACAGAATTGTAGCTGAATTTGCAATTCTCATATTTACTAAAAGCAAATTCACTTGAAATTTGGATCTCATTCCCTACCATACAGTGTCCATAATAACTACACGCGAATCCTATTTTTAACAAACCAAATTTCAGCCAGATTCTCTCTGAAAAAAATCAGGTACAGGGCAAATTCTCAAAAGAGGCCCAGTTGTTTTTGCTGGCCAGAGTTTTAGAATAAAACAAAAATTAAAGTAACACTACAAGCACCATAACCACTGCAGCGCTTTGTACTGGCTGAGAGTGCCAGTAGCGTCATGGCTCCTCCCCTAAGCTAAGCTGATCCCCACTTCCACTACTTTTGATACGTCTTGGGAGACACTTTAACAGGAGCTTCCATAGTTCTCATGAGCTAAGAACTATTGTGTAGGGCTTGCTCATTGGCTAGGACATTGTCTGATAGCTGTCAACCAATGACTAAACCATGCATCACTGGGTTTTACTCAGAGAGCTTCCGGTGTGGATCAGTGCCCAGCAGAGCACAGATAAGAAGTCAAACTGTTCTAGAATGGTTTGACTACTTACCATGGGGGAGCACTTGGGCGCTTCAGACACCATAAGCACCACAGCAACCTGTAGTGGTTATGGTGCTTGGAGTGTTCATTTAAAGAGACACCTCAGACCCCTAAATCACTTTAGCTTGCTGAAGACTTATCATTGAGCTGCATTGGGAAATGGAAATCTGTGATTGGATAGTCACAAAAAAGTCTGGGCAGGTTTAGAAGATGAGGGCTTGCAAAGGCTGCAGACAAGAGACCTGAAGATTGTGCAAGCTGTGTGTAGATATACACTCAATGAGAAAAAAATGTTTAATGACAGTTTTGTGTTTTATAGGAAGTTAATGAGTTATTTTTTATTTATTTATTTATTTATTTTTATAAAATATGCATAGGTAGCATAATAAAATAAAGTTAAATTAAATTCTGATAGTAAACCCGAAAATGTAACCTGCCCCCATACATTCTTCTCAAAATAGTGCTTAGTTTTCTGATGTTTAAAGTGAACCTGTCATGACAGATATAGGTCTGCAGTTTTCTAACCATCTGACTAGACTATTTATTCTCTTCATACTATTAAAAGCTTATATTTCCATTTATTTCCATTACTCTTGCTCCAGCTGAGAGCATCAATAATGTTACAGTGGGTGTTTCATTTGCTGTAACAACACTCCTCTTCTGCATACCTCTATTTGGAGAGCATAGACCTTTATATTGGCTCTATGGTATGTAACAAACTTATCTGTTTGCTCTCTCTCGCTTATTCACAGATGGCCTGTCCAAAGCTGCTGCAATAAATTATTCTGGGTCTTTCTCTCTGTGTTGGTGCTGCTCTCACTCAAAGCCTGCCCATCCTCCATTTTTTTGTCTTGCAGGCATTGCTTTCCCTTAGGCTGAAGGCAAGCAGGAGAGACATCCAGATAACTGAAACAAAAAGCACAGAACTTTTATCTCTATGCCAGCCAGCATAAACTAAATTGACTGCGGGAAAGAGCTTTCTCATCTCTGATTTTCGATAAATGTAGACATTTGTAAAGATTAAAATATGGGGCTGCAGGGTGTGAGAAGGAGACATGGAGCTGCAGGACATGAGAGGGCACATGGGGCTGCAGGGCGTGGGAAGGGGACATGGGTCTGCAGGGTGTGAGAAGGGGACATGGGGCTGCAGGGTGTAAGGAGACATGGGGCTGCAGGATGTGAGAAGGGGACATGGGGCTGCAGGGTGTGAGAGGGGACATGGGGCTGCAGGGTGTGAGAAGGAGACATGGGGCTGCAGGATGTGAGAAGGAGACATGGGGCTGCAGGACATGAGAGGGCACATGTGGCTGCAGGTTGTGGGAAGGGGACATGGGGCTGCAGGATGTGAGAGGGCACATGGAGCTGCAGGGTGTGGGAAGAGGACATGGGGCTGCAGGATGTGAGAGGGCACATGGGGCTGCAGGGTGTGGGAAGGGGACATGGGGCTGCTGGGGGGACACAGGGGCTGTTGGGTGAGAGATTGTGCCACGGGGCTTCTGAGTGTGAGGGAGAAAAAGGCTACATGGTGTGAAAGAGGACATGGGGCTGCTGGGTGATAGGGGGCAAGGACTGCGGTGTGATAGGGGGCAAGGACTGCGGTGTGAGAGGAAGGGCAGGGTGTGAGAGGGGGAAACAGGGTGAGAGGGGGAAACAGGGTATGAGAGGTGACATGGGGCTACTAGTATGAGAGGGGACATGGTGCTGTTGGGTGAGAGGGGGGACATGGTGCTGCTAGGTGAGAGGGGAGACAGGGGCTGCTGGGTGACAGAGGGAGACAGGGGCTACTCACATTTCATTCTTTGTGTGAGAGGGAGACAGGGGCTGCTAGGGGGGCAGAGGCTGCTGGGTGAGAGGGGGATTCAGGGTATGAGAGAGGACATAGGTCTGCTGGGTGAGAGGGGGAGGTAGGGGCTGTTGAGGAAGAGGGGGAGACAGGGGCTGCAGGATATGACAGGGGACATGGGTCTGCAGGCTGAGAGGGGAAGACAGGGGCTGCTTTGTGAGGGGGGGCATGGGGCTTCAGGGTGAGAGGGGGGCATGGGGTTGCTGGGTGTGATGAAGGGACAGGGTGAGAAGGGGACATATAGCAAAAAAAACTTATATTTCTATTTCATTCCCCATCTCTCTTCCTTACCTTGATCCTTGGCAGGAGAGGATGCTGGGGAGTAATACTTTCCCTGGTGGTCCAGTGGAAGATGTATCTGGTCTACACCCCTTGAGAGGTGTAGACCATGTGCACAGTGCCTGTGTTGTGCATCTGTATGTGAGAGAGATCTTTGATCTCCCCACCGCACAGAGCTCCCTCTATGGGCCAAAGGCCAGGCTGCACCAAACCCAGGGGCGGGCTGGGCCGGGGGGCAGGGAGGCAATTGCCCCCCAGGCCACCCCAAATCATTTAAAAACCGGCCGCTGCAAGGCCGGTCCTAATGCTGCAGCCACCTGAGCGCTCTGTTAAGAGCCTCTGGCGGCTGCAGCAAAGCTTCTCCCCTCTCCTTCCTTATAGCGTGGCCGAGCTCCTCTCCGGTCTGCAGTGCCCAGCCGGAGTGATAGGAGGGTGAATTAAGAAGCTCAGGGGGGGGGAATTAAGAAGAACAGGGGAGGGATTAAAGAAGAAGAGCAGGGGAGAGTTAAGATGAAGCAGGGGAGTAGAACAGAGGTGAGGAGTAGAAAAGGCATAGGGAGGAGGGGGGAGAAGGGGAGATGAGGAGGACACAGGGAGGGGGAAGGTGAGAAGAACACAGGTGGGGGGGAGTGAGAAGAACACAGGGAGGCCCCCACGGTTGCAGAATGGTGAAACAGGGTCGGAGACATACAGTTGGCGGAAGCACTACAGGCATCCTTGACGGGTCGGGGGACCAGGCACGCGGAGATGTGGCAACCATGGTTCGTCTACCAGGCTGGAGGGCACTGAACGTCTCGTGGGGGGGGGAGGGAGTGACGGTGGACAGGGAGACAGATCACGCGCCTACCCCGCCAAAGCTCTGGGGGTTGGGACCACCCCATCACTGGAGACATAATCCCAGGGCAGATGAAACCAACATCGGCCCACCGACCCAATCCTCCCACACACATTCCGAAATGCTGAAAATACGTGACCCAACCAAGACTTCCCTTCTCTCACGCGACCATAACCACTGGGCACCCACGGGGTGCGCTATGGGGACACGGGGGGGGAACCTGATAGGACCGCTACTTTCTTCTCTCCCTTTTCGACTCTCTTTCCCATGTTGGACACGGGGGGGGAACCATGATAGGACTAATACATAACACACACAACTAGGGGACGGAGGGGGGGTTGACCCCTCTTACATGTCTAATACACAACACACACAACTAGGGGACGGGGGGGGGGGAAGCCAAGAGCCAAGAAAGCCATAAAAGGAATACATAATACTGGCACTATTATCGGTACATCGAACTGCGGGACATGGGAACACATCCATAGGATAACCTAGCCTAACCTTAAAACCAAGGCACCTACGCTTCTCTCATGCAAGGAGCTAGATAACTATGCCCAGCCTATTATTAGGCACTCCTGCTACAAGGTATACTGTGTCTTATGAACGCACCCGACTTAGAGCCACGCTTTATGTTAAAAGACCGCTTACTAGCAATAAGAATGTCACATGCTATATATATGTACGTACGCCAAAACTACTACGGTTGTCACTCCACACACTTTACCTTTCTGTTATCCTATGTACGCCTACTGTTAGTTACGTAACTTATCGCTGTAATTAAATCCTGACAGGAGACTTGGTTATATGGGCACAAAAAATGTGACTCAAAATATGGAAATATCGCTACAATACTCTTGTCTTCTAAGTAGGCCTGCGAGCCGAATTCTTTCTGTAAACCTCTCTTTTCTTCAATAAACAGATTTTCAAAAAAAGAAGAACACAGGGAGGGTGGGGGAGTGAGAAGAACACAGGGAGGGTGGAGGGAGTGAGTAGAACACATGGGGGAGGTGAGGAGAACACATGGGGGGGTGAGAACACAGGGAGGGAGGGGGCTGAAAAGAATACCGGAGGTTTGGGGGGGTGGGGGGATGAGAAGAGCACAGGGAGGGTGGGTGGGTGTGAGAAGAGACTGCTAGGGGACGGGGGGGAGGGGGAGGAGAGACCACTAAGGGGCAGGAGAGAGCTCTAAGGGACAGAAGGGAGAGGGGGCAGGACAGGGAGCTCTTTCACACTACGCGCACACACACACAATGCATCCCTATACATACACAGAAACACAAAATGCATCCCTACACACACAGAAACACAACATGCTTCCCTTACACACAGAGAAACACACAATGCATCCATTACACACAAAGACAATACATCCTTTGCACACATACACAGAAACACACAATGCAAACCCTTACACACAGATGCAAACACACACACTGCTTCTCTTACATATACACAGAAACACAATGCATTTCTTACACACACTCAATGCACACACTTACAGACACACACCTTGCATCCCTTATGCATACAAACACAGATTCACACAATGCATCCTTTACATACAACCATAGGCGTGCGCAGCCTATTGCATTAGGGTGTGCACCCTAAAGCACAAACACACGCCGCATGTGTGTGTGTGTATATATATATATATATATATATACACACACACACACACATACACTGCTGTGTGTGCTGTTAGTGTGCTGTGTGAGGGTGCTGTGTGCTGTTAGTGTGATGTGTGTGTGTGAGGGTGCTGTTAGTGTGATGTGAGGGTGTTTGTGTGTGTGTGTGTGTGTTTGTGACTGTGCTCTGTGTGTGTGTGTTTGTCCTGTGAGGGTACTGTTTGTGTGAGTGTCATGTATTTGTGAGGGTGCTGTTTGTGTGTGTGTGTTTGTGAGGGTGCTGTTAGTGTGATGTGTGTGAGGGTGTTGTGTTTTTTTTAAAGGTGCTGTGTGTGTTTGTGAGGGTGCGGTTAGTGTACTGTGTGTGTGTGAGCTGTATGTGTGTAGGTGCTGTATGTGTGTGATATCAGATATCGCAAGAGGAACCTGGCGGAGCTTCTTTCTAGAGCTCCTTGGGTCCTCTCCTGCCTCCCTCCATCATGCTGTGGGCCGGTGAGGTAGATCTCTGGTCTCCCCGCCGGCCCATGGAGGCTTAGAGCAGAGCCGGCACTCAGAAAACTGCTATGTTTTCAGCTGCAGGGTTAAAACTAGAGGGACCTGACACCCAGACAACTTCATTGAGCTGATGTGATCTGGGTGTCTGTAGTGGTCCTTTAAAGGACCACTATAGTGCCAGGAAAACATACTTGTTTTCCTGGCACTATAGTGCCCTGAGGGTGCCCCCACCCTCAGGGACCCCCTCCCGCCCGGCTCTGTAAAGGGGAAAAGGGGTAAAACCTACCTTTTTCCAGCGCTGGGCGGAGAGCTCGCCTCCTCCGATCCTCCTCTTCTCCTCCCCGTCGGCTGTGTGCGCACGCGCGGCAAGAGCTTTCCTATGGACGCTGGCGTGCTCTCACTGTGAAAATCACAGTGAGAAGCACGCAAGCGCCTCTAGCGGCTGTCAATGAGACAGCGGCTAGAGGAAATAGGGGAAGGCTTAACCCATTCATAAACAGCAGTTTCTCTGAAACTGCTATGTTTATGAAAAAATGGGTTAACCCTAGCTGGACCTGGCACCCAGACCACTTCATTAAGCTGAAGGGGTCTGGGTGCCTAGAGTGGTCCTTTAAGTGTGTGTGCATCTGCATGCACTGGCGTACATACCGCGGTCGCAGGGGTCGCAGACCAGGTGCCCACCGCGGTATGTACGCCAGTGCATGCACCGCCATGATCAATTTTCGCACCGGGGCCCCATGGGTCATGTGTACGCCACTGGGCATTGTCATATCCTTGGCCGAAGCAGTGCTCCAGCTTATGGCCATCTGCTTGCAACTTGTCACAAATCTGTTTTGTAATGGCATCAGCTGATTTCCCATGTAACTTAATAAAGTCAATGAAAGGCTCTACCATGCTGACCTTGCTGTATCTTCAATATGCACATATCGAATCACTTGAGACATTTGGTCAATGTGAGAAATATCCAGAGTGCTATCAAACATGATAGCAAAATACCCGGCCTTTGCAATTGTTTGAGAGATGACTGTTCTAATGTGATCACTGAGCAGGCTGAACTCATTCTGTCTCTGCGGAGAGAGATAGGACACAACATAGCCATCTGTCTGCTGAACTTTGTAAAGATGCTGATTGGCAACTGAGTCAGATTTGGCAAGCAATTTGAAAGTTTCTAGGAAATTTCCACAGTTACCATCTGTGCTTAGATCGTTTGAGTGACCACGTAAGAGTAAGGTTTCTCTGTCTAGATACAGCACACAATCAAGTATTCTGGCTAAGATTGTCTTCTATTTCTTAAATTAACTCTGTTGTGCAAGCTGGGCAGCAGCATTAATAGTCTCTTGTTTCTGTAGCTGCAATTTAAAACATTTTCCACATTGTAAATGCACTCAGGTGATATGAACTGGCTTACGCTTTAATAATCCGGGATTTAGCTCCATACATTAAATTCACTTGGCTTTCCAAAAGACATTTTCCCTTTGTCCTTCTGAAAAAAAGCATGCCAGGAAAGCAACATGCAGCACAGTTTACAGGGTAAAAAAAAAACCGCCAACCATGTCCTTAATATAGTCTCACCATTGTCCAAATTCATGTAGAACCAGTCCTTGGAAAATGACCTATCATCACTGTCTTTTGGACACAATGCATCCGTATACTAAATGAGATATTGGGTTTGGATTGTATTGGTATCTCATTTAGCTGCCTATGATACGGATATATTATTGCCATTTACACATTACGCATTTGGCGTTTATATATATCCAGAATTTTTCTTTACAACATGATATGACTTTGCATTTTGGGCTTCATATTTAAAGAGATATTCTAATAGTGTGTTCCCATTTAATAAAGATTTTTTTGTATATAACTATTTATGGTTGTGCTCCTTACTCCATTTGTATTTGCATTTATATGGGCTTTTGGGGATAGAGCCTCATGTAAGTGAGTACGAGGGCCAGATTAACATAGGGGCTGATGGAGCTGCAGCTCCAGGCCCAGGCCCAGGCCCATGGAATAGGCCCATTGATTTAAAAAACACACTACTCTTAGGGTTTCCACCTGGCTGGCATTTTATTGGCACAGCCGGTATTTGAGGCTGCCTGGCCGGTGCCGATATTGCATTCATACCGGCAATACAAATGCTAGTATTTTTCTCAGTATAAACAGAGATTACGATGCAATACCAGCACTGGTTGGTAGGGGTCGCTGTGTGTGGAGAGAGGCAGAGATAGGAAGTTCCAGCATGTACCTCCCTGCCTATCTCTACTCACTGATCTGCAGGGGAGCAGCTACAGAGAGTCCCGACGGCAACTCCCACCCTGCAGAGACAACCTACAGCTTAGGAAAGTGAGGGATGGGGAAAAGGCTGCAGGAAGACAAGGGGACAGTGAGACACTAGGGTACATTGGGAGACATTATGGCACAGACACTTGGGGGCACAGAAACACATTGTCCCTATGTCTCCCAGTGTCCTTATGTCTCCCAGTTTCCCGTAGTCTTCCCATGTCTCCCAATGCCCCAAGTGTCTCAATGTCCCCATGTCTCCCAGCCAGTGTCCCTAGTGCCTGTTGCCCTGGTGTTTCAGTGCCCCCATGTCTCAATGTCCCTATGTTCCCATCTTCCTCAGCCAGTCTCTAGTGTCTGTGTCCCTGGTGTCTGTGTCCCCATGTCTTCAAGTGTCCCCTATTTTCCAAGTGTCCCCATGTGTCCCAGCCAGTGTCCCCTAGTCTCCCAGTGTCCCTGGTGTCTCCGTATTCCCAGGTCTCCCCGTGTTCCTAGTGACATTGGGACCCTGGGAGACATGGGGACATAGACACATGGAAATACTGGGGGACACAGGGAGACATGGGGCATTGAGACACTGTAATTCATAGGGTCAATGGGAGACTTGGGGACATGACACAAGGGGACACTGGGAGACTAGGGGACACTGAGAGACACTGGGAGCAATCCATCTATATAGCAGAATCAAACCAAGTAGTTTTTTGGTTATTTTACAGCATTTTCTCTGATGTCACTCCTTGTGATTTACATCATGAGATGTCACCCGTACATAATTAATTATGCAAATTAGTAAGGCCCGGTATGTTTTTCCAAGAAAGGTGGCAACCCTAACTACTTTTCACATACTCTTGCTTAAGTATGGAAACTTAAGAGGGATGTATGGGAACAAAACTTGTGTGGACTGGCTGACAATGAAATTAGTTTAGGTAATGCTGACTTTAGTCTCTCTAACACTGTGGATGTCCCCTTTCTTCTACACTCACTACATACAGCTTTTCTCTTCCCAGACTATATACCAGGAGCTTCTGCCTCCTAGTAAGAAGGTAAGGAGACAAGTGGACCAGCGAGTGCTAGGGGGCAGCCCTTAGAAAGCTTTGAGCGAGCGCATTATTAGACGCATTTATGCCTAGCTCAGGGTGCTGTCTGCATAGTATGCCCTTAGTTGGCCAGCTGCATGATTAGCAGGCAGCCTGACATGCATTCATGTCAGGGTGGCCTTCCAATTCTTTGGGCAGATATGCACTCTTTTTGGGCATGTTCGCTCCTTTTGGCAGGTTACGTGATTTGTGTCAGTGGCACACCCTTTTACCCCACCCATTGACATCCTGCTTGACTGGACACTGCTGTTAGGGGTTATGGATTTACTTGAAAGATGAAAACATAAATTATAGGGAGTTTAGCATAGGGTATGTGTTTTCTTATAGCTGCTGTTTTCTTTCCCTCCAGCACCATCTCCATTAGATACATGACGCTTGGGAGTGTTTTTGGTCGATAAGATTCTGTAATTAGGCCCATCATAATTGTCAGCACCAGGACCACTGTGCTCTTAATCTGGCCCTGGTGAGCACCCAATACTTACTTACAGAGCTCCATTTGGGGCTACTTTGGATTAACTGGTTGCATGTGCCTACCTTGCTTTACTTTTTACTATCTATGGTATATGTGTGTCTGTATCTGTCATGGTGTATGTGTGTGTCTGTGTGTTTTTTTTTTTTTTAAATAGTGTTTTTACTCACCTTTTTTTCCCCACGCTGTGCTGATCTACCCTCGACTGGCCCTGCCTCTATGGCTGAGATCATCAAGCTTGAAGATCTCAGCCAATCCAATGCTTTGCCATAGGATTGGCTGCAAAACGTTACACCAATCAGCATCTCCTCAGATGCATTGAAGCAAATACACCACTGTGTGTCAGTGAGATTGTCTGTGTCTGCATGTGAGTATGCTTACTGTATAATTAAACATTTTACTTTGAAAGGACCAATATTTTATATTAGAAAAAGCAATATTTGATATATATATTGTAACAAACCACCTCTTATACAGGTAGGATTTTGTCAGATCTTACAGTAACCACAGCCTTCTAGGGTAATCAAGGTCCAGGACACATTCAGTTCGGTTTTCCTTTTTATTTGATAGGAAAAACAGGTGCTTTAAATAATAATAAACAAAACAAAATTCCTTGCTCTTACTTGAGCTCTTACTAGACAGAAATCACTATCTGTAATTGAATGGCTTTCCCACTTACCAATTTTCCCCCAAAAAATTGCAATTTGCAATAAACACAATTGTTGTTCTCTCTCCTTCAGCTCTCCTAGCTGACTTTTTCTCCCCCACCCTGCAGCAGGCTAATCTCTTCTTTTTAAGGCCTGTCTGCTAATTGACTAGCTACAGGTGAGTGCCAATTAGTAAGTTAAATCCAAATTCTGGTTTGTTACACAGCAACTAGTGCTGTTGGAGCATTGGCCCACCCTGCTCTCCAAATGCGCCGCCTCAGGGACCCATACTGTGTTTTGCAGAGCATCAGCAATGTATATTGCAAACTTTAACATCTCTCCCTGGGGCATTTAACTGAAAATCCTCTGGCTGCTGTTTAGCAAATCAGGCCTGATATAT